GCGCCCGGGATCCGAACCTGTGAACCCCGGGCCGCCGAAGCAGAGTGCACACACTTAACCACCGAGCCACCAGGCTGGGCCCTCGAGGGTGTTTTTAATATAAATGCTCTTAGTTCAATGTTCCTTAGAATGACAGAAGTTTGTTTATGAATGAATTCACTTGTCTGAGTCATGTATATTTTTAGAAGCATGACTTTGTCATTTCAAGATAAGACATGGTATTAAAAGGCTACATGTAGTAGACAAAACCACATTCAGACAATTATGACACTGCAAAAAGTTTTGCACCTTTTTCAGAAAGAAAATTTCTAAGCACTAAGATAGATACATCTATCACAAGAAGAGCAATATGGAGGAAAACACTATTTTAGTGATTTCTGCTGATATTCCCCTTGGGGAGAGTCAATGTGTCAAGTTTTATCGTAATTAATGTTTTAACGAAATATTTTGTTTTCCCAAGGCACAAGGCAGGAATAGCTGATATTGCAAGGATATGTGAAGTAGCTATTAGAAACAGGAATAGCTATAGATACATAAATATATGATGAGGAGCCTGTAGTTAATTAATGAACATCAGGCACTTATAGACACAGAAAAAAAATACTTTAAGATAGATACAAGGGGGGCCAGCCCCGTGGCTTAGCGGTTGAGTGCCCGTGCTCCGCTACTGGCGGCCGGGGTTCGGATCCCGGGCGCGCACTGACGCACCGCTTCTCTGGCCATGCTGAGGCCGAGTCCCACATACAGCAACTAGAAGGATGTGCAGCTATGACATACAGCTATCTACTGGGGCTTTGGGGGAAAAATAAATAAATAAAAATTATTAAAAAAAAATATATCAATTAAAAAAAAAAAAAGATAGATACAAGGGCAGGATGGATACATAAAGCAGTGTGGGGTGGGAAATAGCATGATACCAAAGAAAAAAATTGATGGTTGCTGCATAATTGAACAACCTAAAGAAGATCTAAACAGAAGCATTTCCCTAAATTACATCCACCTAGAGGTTTCACAACCCCTTTATTGAGAAGAGACTGGTATCAACAGAGAAACTTAATAATATTTGTAGGAATTATTGGTGTATTTAAATATATTTCTATTTTGCTTAACTTTTAAAAGTGTATAGTGTTCATTCTTCAAAGTGGGTTCAGTTCTTGTGAACTAAAAATCCTCTGTTCTTATAAAATATTCTCAGGTATTCATTAAAAGAGGAGAGAAAGAAAGATTGAGCACAGCATCTAAACTGGATGGGCCCCAATAAAACTTCAGTCAAGAGCCTGGTACCAAGGATGAGTACACTGATTAATTGGCAACCTTATACAATGAGACATGGGCAAGACTCATTTCTATCAGAATATGCCATTTGCTTTCATAAAACTTCAGTCTTTCTGATCACTTAAATGGTTGCACCACATCTGCAGCTATACCAGCAACATATCTGAGAAACTAATTCTTAAAATGATGACAGATTCCAAAATAGCACTAAATCTAAATCCATCAAGTTTTACTGTCAGCATCCATCCATCTCTATCTACTGTGGTCAGGGACTTCTCGATCTTTGCAATAATAGCCAGCGAAACACCAATACATCATTGCAATTTATATTATTGTCCTGCAAATTCTGTTAAACATAATTACAAGCAAACGAACTTTCAGCACTGGATAATTATTATTTAGGTTAGTTGACTTTTTTTGTGTGTGTGTGAGGAAGATCAGCCCTGAGCTAACATCCATGCCAATCCTCCTCTTTTTGCTGAGGAAGACCAGCCCTGGGCTAACATCTGTGCCCATCTTCCTTCACTTTATATGGGATGCCGCCACAGCAGGGCCTGACAAGCAGTGCCTCGGTGCACGCCCTAGATCCGAACCCGGGCTGCCAGCAGTGGAGCGCACGCACTTAACCACTACACCACGGGGCCGGCTCCAATTAGTTGACATTTTTAAGCAGTCAGGCTACTATCCCATCTTTCACTTAATTTCACGGTGGTATCTTTGTTTGCTTTCTCTAACATTTTTAACACAGATAAAATAAGTTCAGTCTTCATATTACAAAGGAAAGCTTGAATACATTCATCCTGTATATTATTTGTACAACTTCTACACCCATATCTGCAGGGGACACGTTCCAAGACCCCCAGTGGGTGCCTGAAACCGATATACCAAACCCTATATATACTATGTTTATTCCTACACATACGTACCTACAATAAAGTTTACTTATAAATTAAGCATAGAAAGAGAACAATAACCAATAATGAAATAGAACAATTATAACAATATACTGTAATAAAAGTTACTGTAAATCTTAGCAACCTCAGCATATGATTTCTTTCCTTATTAAGTCAAGAACTTTCACCTTTTCATGTAAAGTAAGCACTTTACAGCTTCTCTTTGGCATATCTGAATTGCCAGCATCACTAGTCTTGTGCTTTAGTGCCATTATTAAATAAAATAAGGGTTACTTGAACACCAGCCCTGTGATACTGCACCAGTTATCTGATAACCGAGATGACTAAGTGACTAGCAGGTGGGTAACGTGTATAGTGTGGATCCGCTGGACAAAGGGGTTGATTCCTGTCCTGGGCGGGACGGAGCGGGAAGCCATGAGATTTCATCGCGCTACTCAGAACAGCATGCAATTTAAAACTTATGACTTGCTTATTTCCGGAATTTTCCATTTAATATTTTCGGACCACAGTTGGCCATGGGTAACTGAAATTGTGGAAAGTGAAACCACGGATAAGGGGGGACTACCGTACTAATAAGTCCAGGAGTGAAATATCTCAAGTTATATCTTAATATAGAAACAGACATTACTTTTTGTTTGTCAAAGAAAAATTCGTAAGTGGCATATATTTAAATTCTGTTCATTGAAGCAAAAATGTTAGAAAGTCCTCCCATCTCCAGCCTCTGTTAACCGAAACACAAACAGAATTCAAGAGAAGAGGACCATTCCTTTGTGTCTATTTCAGTAATGGAAGGGAAGTGGTTGAGTCTGATAAATTTTGCTACCGATTCCTTAATCTAGGCAATGATTACAAATTCATGTATTTAATTAGAACAGTGATAATTAGGTTGACTTCCAGATGACTCATTTTGTAAACCTCTGGCCATTAGCCTTCCAGCTGGAGCGGGCCATGTGCTGCCTTCCCACTGACATCAGTGGAACTCTTGAGTCAAGATCAAAGCCACTTTATGCCTCTCTGACCTTTCTGCACAATGCACAGTGGGGCCCGGTTTCTCAGCTCAGAATTTTCAGATTTGCTTCACTGTCCCCAACAGGTTCCCTCTTGCAGACAATCTACATGTAGATATTCACTGAAGACCCTACAACCAGCCCATTGGAAACCACAAGTGTTAGACTCTAGAATTCAGGTGGTTTCCTGACCCAGGTCCCAAATTTCAGGAAATCTTATTCTGGTTGACTCACTGAGGCTTTAGTGAATAGAGACAGAACCCCACCAGAGGGCAGGAGCAGTGCTTATTTTGCCCGCAGAAGTCTGCCACAGGCTTACTTTCCTCTAGAGATGCACTTTGAGAATCAAACTTGAGAAAGGATCCCTTACCTTGATAGTCATGTCTGCGCTGGACGTTTCTGTGGCATCCGAGGCTGTGTCGTCTCCCTTTAGCAGCACACTCTCCCACCCGACTCCTGAAAAAAACCGAAACAATGCCATTTGAGCCAAGTGCATTCAAGGGGCACGGATAGATGTCTAACCGCCATGTCACAGATTCTGATCCCATGTGACTTGTAAAGGAAACTGATGATGATCCCCAGTTTACCTGCCTGGCAGCTACTGGGAAAGCTTCCTTTCAGAAGTGTGGTCAGTCAGCCCCTCCAAGTTTGGAGCCCATCGTCTAAATCCTGTATCTTATAGACAGTTCTATTCCTAGCCCAGAGTGGAGAGGAGGTTGGAATAAACTCCTCCAGAATCCAAGCCTCATACTGAGGTCTTATTTGGGCCTCAAAGTGATTCCCAGAACACAGAAACACACATCTGAATCCAACTCAACACCCAACAGAAATGACTCAAGCTTATTCACTGTCCACACACCTACTGGAAATAACAAAGTTGACACTCACTTTTAAAATCTATATATGCTTTCTCTCCAAGTCTTGATAAATGTTAGTGTCCCTTTTTTCTTAAGCTGTCAGATGATCTCCAAGAGCAGACAACTGGCAAGATACAAGGTTTTGCTTCCTCCAACCTCAAAAAAGAGATCAGGGGCTGGTGTTTGGAAATACCATGAACACAAAATATAGCTAAACTACACTAATTCAGATGCAATTATGTGTGCAAATGGAGGTGTAATGGTCTAACTTAGTGAAAAGTTTGAAGTGATGACAAGCATATCTTTAAAAACATAGATTTATTGCAAGTCAAGTCTTCTTAAAAGCTAAAAAAGTAATACTTAGTACAGTTTCTCAGGATCTACTTGAACAAGCAGATACAAATTTTATAATTGGTATAATAACTGCCTGCTTCGATATGAGGGCTCATACTGTAAAGTATTACAAAGATTGTTTTCTTAAACAGGTTAAAATTGTCTGTGTAATATTTGTTTACATTATCAATTTCCTTAAATAATTTTCCCTAAGGATAACTCAAGGACAATATTCATCCCAGACCTGTTTGAATAACCCAAATTCCAAAATTTCAATTGTCCAGCATCATGTTAAACCAGGATTGGCACACTTTTTCTGTTGGCCACATAGTAAATATTTTAGGCTTTGTGGTCATGCTGGTTCTGTTGCAATTTCTCAAGCTGCCATTGCAGAGCTAAAGCAGCCACAGAAAAACATGTAAACAAATGGACATGGCTGGGTTCCAATAAAACTTTATTTACAAAAACAGACACTGGGCCGGATTTAGCCCATGAGACGTGCTGTACCAGCCTCTTTGCTAAACCAAGAGACCATAGATGTGGACAGAAAAGATCGCTATACTTCCACATTTTTGTAAGGATCAATGGGACAAACCAGCTGACGAAACAGTAACAGTTGTTTTCAATTACATGACACTTTAAATAAACTAATATGAATTTAATTAAGTTTTAATAGATTAGCATTGGTTGCATCACCAAATTTTATACTCTGGATCCTTGAGAGCCTCATTTTACAGGATATATGCACAGTGGATTATTCAAGATCCATGCACTACAATTTATTTCAAGGTGCAAATAGCTGTCTTTCACTGGGTTCTAGAAATTGGGTCAGTTTGGTGATTTGCCCTACAATTTCCTCTCAAGAATTGCTGCAAGGAGGTTGTTAGCTTTGTCTTTTTGTGTGTGTGTGTGTGTGAGAAAGATCAACCCTGAGCTAACATCTATTGCCAATCCTCCTACTTTTTTTTTCCCCAAAGCCCCAGTAGATAGTTGTATGTCATAATTGCACATCCTTCTAGTTGCTGTATGTGGGACGCGGCCTCAGCATGGCCAGAGAAGCGGTGCGTCGGTGTGCACCCGGGATCTGAACCCAGGTCGCCAGTGGCGGAGCGGACGCACTTAACCGCTAAGCCATGGGGCCGGCCCCTAGCTTTGTCTTAAATGCACATTTCTGGCAGAGAAATCTTTGCTCCCACGTGACTAGATTATTTCCCTGACTCACCTTGCATTTAACTAATAGCCCCTCCTGGTTTAAGCCACTGTTAATGCCTGTTGGATCTGGCTGGCAGAGAGGCACAGATGTTGGGCATGATGGATAATTATGATATTTAGTTATAAAATAGTTTGAATTATTGTTCAGCAAATATTCATTCCCCTCCTCTCCACTGTGGGAGAAATTTTCTTTCCTGTTTCACTGATGTTTGCTTTGGTCAATGGAATGTTAGTGGAAATAATACAAGCCAAAGTTTGAAATGGACTTATGTGGTGATACTCCTGCACTTCTGCTGTAACCTGAGAAGGACATACCACAGTTGGCCTGCAAGGGAATGAGAGTCATGGGGAGCAGACCTGGAGCTAAGCCAAGTCTAGATCAGCCAACCCCCAACCCAGCTGCCTATGCATGACAATAAAAGCTATTGAGATTGGGGATGATTTGTCAAGAAGCATTATTGTAACAATAGCTAACAGATACAATCTATAACCAAAATTATAGATGAAAATCATTTTGGATAAAGTACTTTTATCTTTAACTATGCAAATATAAGTCCCTTTGTTGCATAAAAATTTCATTTACAAGTATTGATTCCCATTTCTCTCTATATTATCTCACTTTGGGAAGACTCTTTTCTCTGCTACAATCATTCCTTTTGTAAGTAATACTATCTTTATTAAAGGATATATGGCCATAAGAAAGAGATAGGAGGGGCCAGCCCTGTGGCGCAGCGGTTAAGTGAGCGAGCTCTGCTGTGGCGGCCCGAGGGATTGCTGGCCTGGATCCCAGGCGTGCACTGACGCACCGCTCATCAGGCCATGCTTTGGTGGCGTCCCACATAAAGTAGAGGAAGATCGGCACGGATATTAGCCCAGGGCCAATCTTCCTTGGCAAAAAGAGGAGGATTGGCATCGGATGTTAGCTCAGGGCTAGTCTTCCTCACAAAAAAAGAAAGAAAGAAAGAAAGAGATAGGAGACATAAATAGATATATATTCTCAGAATTTTAGCCTGCAATCAAGAAAACACTTCAAATTAGATAGCCTATCATTTAATGGCAGAGTGAGAGAAAACAGACATAACATTTTAATTTAAAAATGTTATTAATCTTGATAAGTTATGAGGACAGAAAAATATTATTTTAAAAGCTAGATGCAAGATTCCTTCTAGGGAGAAAACTGTGTTTTGGAGAACAAAGCAACTTTATGGATCATTAGCGTATGAAAAGATGGGTCCCACATCATGGAAGGAGAAGGAAAAGGAAGATGTCCATTTAGAAGAAGGGAGAACTTGAAAGAAGTTGGGACAAGAATCAACAGGAAGAAATTCTCAGGGGCCAATAAAAAGGATTTTTGAGAACAGTGAAGCTTAAAAATCAATTTTAAATTCTTTATCATGCTGTGTCAGGATGTAAGTCTCCCCTCACTCTCATACCTTCAGTGGAGATCTGTTCTACACCACTGCCTTGTGTTGGTATTGTTTGGTGGAAACTCAATGAGGTCCCACATTTGGACCTTAGGGTACAGAGAAGAGAGTGGCCATGTGCACATGCGAGCTCCCTGCAAAAGTGGAATCTGAGAGCCAGCGCTGATGGCCTAGTGGTTAAAGTTCGGCATGCTCCACTTCAGTGGCACAGGTTTGGTTCCTGGGCGCAGAACTACACCACTCGTCTGTCAGTAGCCATGCTGTGGCGATGGCTCACATAGAAGAACCAGGAGAACTTACAACTATGCACAACTACATACTAGGGCTTTGAGGGAGGGAAAGAAAGAAAAAAAAAAAGGAGGAAGAATGGCGACAGATGTTAGCTTATGGTGAATCTTCCCCCGCAAAAAAAAAAAAAATGTAGAATCTGAGGAGGACATGATGATAAGAATCTTGGATAGGGTACTAGACTTGCATACTACACATGACAGGGCCATGGGTCAATTTTATTTGAAAACCAATGTGCCAGAGATCCTTTCGTCTTGAGGAATTGGAGATGCAAGATGATTGACACTTCTTTATAGAATGATGCTTATACATGTAAAAATGCCACTTCCATTTCCAAAATGGTGATTTCCATTCCACTAACATGTAAATGCACTGCACCACAAGTGGGCAGGGGGATAGCTTACAGCGCTTGTTTGAGATTCCTTCAGCTCTAGGATTTTATCAACGACTTTCAACATTTGCTTTCATGTCCAAGTTGCTGAGATGAATTTCCATGCAACTAAGACGCATGATTTATAACTAAAGCACAAACATTTAGGGGCCGGCCCCGTGGCGTAGTGGTTAAGTGCATGTGCTCCGCTGCTGGCGGCCTGGGTTTGGATCCCAGGCGCGCACCAATGCACCGCTTGTCAGGCCATGCTGTGGCGGTGTCCCATATAAAGTAGAGGAAGATGGGCACAGGTGTTAGCCCAAGGGCAGTCTTCCTCAGCCAAAAAGGGGAGGATTGGCATGGAGGGTAGCTCAGGGTTAATCTTCCTCACAAAAAAAAATAATAAAAATAAAGCACAAACATTTAAACAGCTCAGATGTATAATTGCAAAAGACAAAACATTCCAGTCTTATGTATTTCTATTATTAGTTATATAAACACAATCACTTCTGATTTCAGGGGAAGAACCTATACAAAGAATTTGACGTAAGAATTTTGATAAAAGTATATATATTATTTGGTAGAGTACATATAACATATATATTTCACATATATTTATACATACTGTACTTTCAAATAACCATTTTCTCTTACATCCCCCCTACTCTGCTCAAACTCTTATTTATAACTTCTTTGAGAAATCATATTTTATATCATTCCTACAATTCCTAGCAATACTACTATTTTTATTTCATTTTTAAAAGATTGTATCAAACCTTCAGGAAAAAAATAACATCTTTCTTCCAGAAGATTGTTAAGTTTGCATTTCCCAGTAGTGGGAGAAATTGAAACCTGGCTACTTGAAGCTCGGGTTTGCTTATAAATACTCCATCAGGGACAGTTTTATCAAGATCTTTCAGGAATGAATAACATCAGTCACTATGAATTTTTTGTTGTTGTTACTTTTTATAC